CCAGGAACTTTTTTCCATCTATTCATGACCACCTTTCTAACCACTGGGTTAGTCCGGACTATGAAACCACGCAATTCTTCACTGGGCATGGGAGATTCCGGGCCTACTTACAGAGGTTCGGCAAATCTACAACGGACATCTGTACCATCTGTAATTGCCGTGATGGGGTTGAGCACTATGTATACATGTGTCCAATGACCGAGGATGCTAGGCATGAGCTTGCCCTTGCTCTTAGCCACAGGGGAATTAACTGGCCATGTGAACTTCATGTCCTTCTTAAGGATAGTGACACCTACAAAGCATTCAAAAAATTGATTCATATGTATCACATACGCTCTGTCATTCACTAAGTTAGTCAAGTCAGTCATCAGGCATTATTTTCATTTGCTTCTTGCACATTATTGTATATACATATCATTATTGTTCTGCTGCAGCATATATCTGTATAATATTTATTATTACTATTAGTATTGTCTATTTTAATTTACCGTACATGTTATTCTACTCTCACGTTTTGTATAATATCGGTTGATTTATATTGGTCATCTTACCATCTGTTCATACTTTTCAATTGTCATACTGTTTGTACGTTATCTGTCTGTTATTATGTATGTATTTACCTGTGCTTTGACATATCTCTGTATTTAACCCGATTATGCTCTTTCGGTATCGGGAATAAATAAAGATAAAGATAAAGATTTATGTATCTGTTGTCATAAAAATTTGTCTTTCCACTTCTTCCCTAGACTACAAATATTCAGGTACAAAGTAACCAATTTCAACTTATTTCTACTTAAGAAGTAGTTAAATAATTAAGAGATTAGGGAATTTGGGACATAAATAAAATCCTGCTGAAAGAGCCAGAATTTTACTTAAACAAAAGCTTAGACAAGTACAGTGTGAACTGATTTCTTTGTAATATTAGATGTTATAAAGACAAATTTTTCCAGTTCAATGAAAGTGACTAAAAGTTGTAAATTTTGGAAATTTCTGTGGCCACCTGGTCTTAAGACGAATTAGTTAGAAAACAAATGACTATTAAATTTAACAAATTTAGATTGTTACAGCTATGGTGAGAAATGTTTAAAATGTACAACCCTGTCACATCCTTTGAGATATACTAGTGATGCGACAAAAGAGGTATTTGACATTAACCAGTATTGACACCCTCGGGATTTGGCATGCGTGCACGCACTGCACACCTACCAAGATCATCTCTGATTCCATCCATGAGCCACTGGTAGGGAGCCATTTTAACTAGGTGGATTGTTTTAATATTTAAAAAGTAAAGAATATTTTGTCATTTTTATGTATGTTTCTATACAAAACTATATTTAATTATAATTTTCTTTAAAAGTATATTCATACAATTGAATATTTTGTACCTGGTATGTATAATTGTACATCCACCACACATATTATTTCACCAATTAAGTTTTTATTATTTTATTTTTAATTGTAGCCCTTATATCATGGCTAGCGATTTAGAATGTAATTGTGATATTAAAAATACATTTAGAGAAGTCTACGGTTTTTACTTGCTTATTGAACAAACGAATACGAATGGACCCTAGACCATCATTGATGCGCAATTAACTGATTGCCCCTGGAAGTCAGCTTCTTACAGAAACACAGCTTCCCTATCATTAAATGTCACGGCACGCCACTGGTGGCTAACTCTAAATTTTGCAGTTTTTCATTAATAGAGTATTCTTATTATGTTTATATTATGGGACTATGAGTAGATGTGTAAAATTCAAAAGGATTACATAAAATACCAAATTTTTGGTTGGTCCAATTTTTAAATTCTGTTTTCTGAAAATGATGGTTTCATAGTTAGTCATGCTTCTATAGTCACAATATTTATATAATAAACATCATAGGTGGTTTATTCTTGTTTAAATTATTTGAAGGTCTTAAAATTTGGAATCTTGAATTTTCAATTCAGGCATACTGAAAAACTGTATAATTGAAAACATAGACAGTTTATAATCTGATGTATATTATGATGTAAATAAAACTATCTTAGATTAAAAATAAAAATCTGTTAGCTTCTCAGTACTTCCTTAGATTATTGGATTAGTTTTCTAAAGATTGGTAACTTGAATCTATAACGTTTGTGAATTTTTTGTCTCTTTAATCCTTTTGAATCTATAATAAGACTATTGCTATTTTTTATTTGTGTCAGTTTAACTCTGATTTGTAATATATATTTCAAAATAAAGTTTGCTGAGATAGTGAATATGGAATCACTGTATGCTGAGAGAATCTTTGAGACCAGAATTTGTTTTATCAATAACAGGATTCAAAATAGATGATGTTATTGTGTAAAGCTGTTTTTCTTTATTGTTGCACTGAATATCTTAAGTACCTATATATAATTCAAACATTTTAGATGGATAGAAAGCATTATCCAAATGCTATCTGTTATGATGTATATATTATATTATATTATAACAGATCCTAAATAGAATATACAAATATTTGAAAGAAATAATAAGGAATCTTCTTCCTTGAATTCAAATATTTGTGGAGTAGATTTGAATATCTATGAATTTAAAATAATGAATAAATTTTGCTATTTTGTAGAAGAATAAAATGCTATTCTAGCTCCAATCTATCAGTCACTTGTGAAAAAGCCATCTAGGAGAACAGTGTGTCCATAAATAGCAAAGAATGGAAACTTTCCATTAATTTAGAGATAATGCTGTCAATTTGAAGTTAAAACACTTTATAGAATAGAACACAGTTAAGAAAAATAAACAAAAATGAAAAAGCTTACATGTTATTTTAATGAATTAAATAGTTATTTAAATAAATAAGTGAATATTTCTCGATTACTTTAGTTAAAAATTGATATTGTAAAGTATTTAGTAGTTTAATCTTTTAAATCCACATTAAAATTTTAATGTGGATTTAAAAGATTAAACTACTAAAAATTGAATTAGAGTATTTAACTGATAGGCATAACATTTTTTCATAAACAAAGTGAAAATACATAATTTGAAGAGAAAAACTAAATCAATCTTAAAACTTTCAGAAAGGTTATTTATACTTTTACAACAGTTTAATAATTAAATTTACTATTTTTTCCTATTTCAAAAATTTATTATTCTCATAATTACCTATTCACTTTGTCAATGTAATGCATTTGTATATCAAGATAGTATATGCCAGACATAATTTTGCCCATTACATGTGTACCCAAACCTCAATAGTATCAGTCAGTTTAGATGAGATGACACCTCAACTCATTTTCCTTGATAAATTTTTGGAATCTGGATTAGATCCAAACCCAGATCCCCACTGCAGTAGGTTGTGATCTTATCATTTCATAATTTTTAATTTTATTAAACAAATTGTCAAATGATCATATCAAATTCTTATGACAAAAAAATTGAGACTATATAAAATAGTTATTGTTATTGTAAAATTGGAAGCCAACAAATCCAAACACATCTTAATCTAAAAGGTCCATTGTGTACTCTATAAGAAATTACTTTATAACTAATCTTTTTAAAAAAGACAGGAGACTTCTGAAGGAAAGCTGAGGATGATGTAATGGCTTAAAGAAAGGAGAACCCAGATTATCAAGTTTGCTCAAGAAAAGATCAGTACACTCACAAATTACATGCAGAGGAGTTTCTTCAGCAGATTCACAAAAGCAGCAAAAGGTTAAGGAAGAAAGTTTTGATTGGTACAAATGTTCACAAAAGTGACCAAAACCAGACAGAATACTGACCAAAAAGTGAACAATATAATATAGTGAACATGTTAATATCAAACTTATCAATTGAATATTAAAATACCTAAAATAACAAATTATAAAATATAACAACTAATTAATGAATTAATGTATTAAACAAATGTCATAAACTTATAATACAGTAGCCCATTGTTATATTGTGCTTGTCAGGAGATAAAGAAAAAGTACGATATGTCTGGTTATGCAATATTATATAGCTGAATACTAAAAATTCTGGTCTTTTAGTAAACATATTATACTTGCCATGGGATCTCTATCCTCTATTCTTTCATTGGCAAGTGTTTCTGGTATAAAGTAAGCTTACTTTTTCACTACTAAATTTTATTCTTGGTTATCTGGTATTAGTTGATGTTTATGTAAACATGGATACCAGGATCATTCATTTAGCATTATTATTTCATTAACAATGACATTTAAAGACAAATACTGCCGATATAAAAACAAAATATGAGTTATGATTTTATTATACAGTATTATATTTCATAATAAATCGCTCTTTGAAAATTTGTGTCATTTGTATTTTCCAATAAAAATTATAAATACAGTAATTGAAAATTTAAAAAAATAAATATTGAACATATAATAGAACATCAAAACTGTATAAAAATTTTAGAACTTTCTCTTCAAAAATAAATCTTTTCCTTACACATTCCACAGTGAAGTAGAAATTTCACAGAAACTTGTAAATGAGAGACAGTAGGCCTACTTAAAACCAATAAATAATAAATAAACAACTTTTATTATCAAAAGGAAACAAATAATAAGTGATCTGTTCACCTGTTTTGCTTATTTAGATCTTGACAAATTTATTGTTTTACCTGCAGTGGTAGTTTCAAGAACAATGATAGGAATAAAATACCATATTTCTTTGAAAAAAGAAATTCAATGGCAATTGATAATTTAAAATTTATTGACTTGAGTACTTTTAAAATTTGGGGACCAAAAAAAGGTGCAATATATCCAAATCAGCATATGACAAGGGGCTACTGTAATAATAATTCAACAGATAATAAATATTTAATATTAGTTTTAACGCATAGTTTCAGGTTATGAATTCATGCACTCTTCCACATTGTTTTATTGTTTTTGTGTTTACATATTCAAGCTTGGACTTTATTTGAATTTGGATACAACAAACTCTTTAGTTCATGAACAAAAAAAACAATTGAAAATAGACAGAGAAAATGCAAAATATTAATGTAATAACTTTATATTATTATTTTTTTTATTGTAGATTGTAGAAGACATTGAACGAATTGATTTTGATTCACTCCGTGAGGATAAAAAGTTTAAAGATTGGAGAGTATCAGAGAAATGGGAATGGAATAACTTACGTAGAAGGTAATCCTAAAGAACTTTGTTTTAATTAAAATATTTACTCTTTGTTATAAAAATTAAAAATTGCTTTCATATATTCAGAGTGACGAATCAAAAACGAAAGCTGTTCTTTCTTTTAAATAATCCTAAATTGGATTGTCCAGAATTATTTTTAACTGCGGAAGAAACAAGTGCAATGAAAGATGTGATGAGAACTGTAAGTCTGTTAAAGAAAATTTCTAAACTTTTAGATTTTGTTACATAACTACACACAATAAATATACAGGTAACCCCCGTATAACACGGTAGTTACGTTCCAAAAAATTGTCGTGTTATGCGAATCCGTGTTATACGAAACAAAGAACTAATACGAAAAGGAGGGTTAGGTTCCAAAAATTAAAAAACATGCTAGTATATTTTCATAATTAAGATAAATATCTTCATTAAAATTTTTTTAAGTGATACATATTAATATAAATTAAACAATGTTTTCTTCGTCATCACTAAAAACACTATTAATTAACCGAGAGCGTTTTCTTTTTGGCAAGTTATCCTTATCCTCTGAGCATTTTTCTGCATTATCTTCAGATCCATGCTTTACCTTTTGCAAAATGTATGTAATTTTAGATTGCTTGCTTCTAGTTAAAAGGTCTTTATAAATTTCCTTATATGGTGCTAAGCACTTATGAAGAATAAAGCAAGTATGGAATAAGGGAAAAACATTCGGCAACATCAGAAGCAGAAGCGTTGCGATCTGGCAACATTGAAACAAGTTTCGAGAAGGACCACGTGTATCAACAGAAGGCGAGAAGAGAAAATTTACATACTTAATAGTTCACGAAAATAATAATTTTCGTGAACTATTATTACTTAAGTATGTAAAAATTTATTACATTTCCTGTTGTACGAGGGTTTTACCCAATTCTTGAACGGTGTCTGAGTGAATCCGTGCTATAAAAGTACCGTGTTATATGGGGGATGGTACCAATTCTCGAACCATGTTAGAGCGAATCCGTGCTATAGAAGTGCCGTGTTATACGGGGGTTACCTGTACACATATACTCACACTCTATGTATACACATATGATTTGAAATATGCTTTATATCACAGATGAAAACATTTCAAATCTTCTATAGGCAATTTCCAAATTTCAGATGTAATACATTCCTAAAAATATGTACAAAAGTCAAATGTCTGAAAGTTTGACAGTAGAGTTGCATGTTATAAAGGGAGTTCAGTTTCTATACAGTTAATAAGAAATTATATGTTTTTCTTCTTAAGACAGGAAACTGTTTTTTATGATAATACATTATAATGCATAAAACGTTATTGACAAGACTATGTCTTGTTTATAAAATCATACTGCCTGTGGTGTTACCAGCTTAGAGGTATGAAGGAGTACATGTCAGGTGTTGCAATTTGGCACAGTATTAGGTGCCCAAATCATGCATGCATAAAAAGAAATCAGACTTGTAGGTTGTCAGGGGACCGAGAACTGAGTCAAAATAAAATACAAAATGGTGACACTCTCTACAAATAGGCAGTAGTGTGAGATTTGCGCATGCATTGCTCGTTGGGAAGTTGGAAATACGAATATTGTGAAATCAAATTTTGACAAACACGTGTGTTGGGAAGTTCGAAAAGCGAATGTTGCTAAATCGAATTTTGACAAACGAATCTTTGAAAAAACTCATTTGCCTGTCTCATGTTATTCCTCACATATTTCTGGTCGCCACGTGCTAACCTGGACCAATTGACTGGAGATACCTCGTTTCATCATCAGAACATTTTTGAAACTAGATAGCGCATCATTATAATTTTATATTAAAACTAACTTCTGAAATATAATTTGTTTTCTTTTTACATTTATCAATATATATTATTGTTTGTACAAAAGAATAAAATAATTTTGGATGATACAATAGCCATGATTATTTTTTTCAAAAATGGGAAATTTTCGTTAGGCATCGGCAAAAATTCAACCCGGAGCGACACACAACAGAGAGAAATTTGAAATTGGATAGGTTAATTTCACTGAAAATGGCTTATGGATAACCTTGTGATCATTGTTGTGGCCTAGGCCAGCAAAGTTTCAAAGATTGCACTCAAAACCAGCAATATCAAAGAAGATTGGAGAATGAGACTCACTGTGAGTGTTGGACTGATCCCACTTAGCAGTGAGTCTTTGAGACATAGTCTTGTCTCAAATATGGCTTTGCCATTTTATTTGTTTTAAACTTTAAATTAATAGATTATACAGAAAATAAAGAAGAAAAATCAGTTTTTACAAAGGATTTTGATGTTTCCAAACACAACACTGGCAGAAAGAATGATGGTTTTGGAAATATCAAAATCATTGTAGTAAGAGAGACACTAATTATTGCAATCAGAACAGGCATTGTACATTAGAATAAATAAATAAAGATGCTTGCATTGTTTAATTTTTGTGTTTAGTGTGAATTTTACAATTATTAAACTATCAATAGTAATAATTCAAAGATGCATGACATACAGCCCAGTATATGTTTCAATATAGCCTACTGTCTGATTTGTAAAAATGTTTTTATGATAGTAAGTATATGTTAATTAGTGCATTAGTACTATTTTAAATTCATATAATGCATTTGAGTTTGATATAGTTTTGTATTATTGAATTTGCACAAATATTGCACAAAAAGACAACAATGTAGGAACTATCATTGACAATTATTCTTGAGGGATGAATTCTTGCAAAAAAAAAAAAATTCATGGTTGTCAACAAAAGGGATCAACATTGACTTCATATTGCTCCTGACTTGCCGTATTTCTTAGGATAAAGCAACATTTAGATTTTTTACTGGAAAGACTTGTTTCATTTTTGGGTTATATGCATAAACCCATGTTTTGTCCTCAATAATCTCATGATTTAAAAAGTAATTATTAGCATACACAGTTTCTCTGACTTTTTTGACAGATCTGCAAGAAATGTTTCCTTCAATCAGCTGTCAGGATATGTGGTACATTAGGTGCAGTTTTTCAGTCAGAATTGTCTGAATGGAATAAAAAATAATTCCCACTCATTTCTGCTATGTTCCATATTGTCATTTTTCAATTTTTGTGGATTAATGTGGCATTCTTTGCATATCTTTTAGGTGTGTGCTGGTTAAAAGGCATCTGGAGTGTTCATTGCCTTCCAATGATTCTTTACTATGTTTGAAATGTTCATGTCAATCACAAGTTTGGGTTTTTCCAAGCTTTACACAAGTACAATGTTCTAGTTTTTAATTTATTGTACATTGTAAGAAAGAAACTTGATACATTTGATACAAAAGGATACAGAAAAAGTCAAGTGAACACAGAACAATAATGGCATGTCATTGACTGACTTACTTACTACAGTGGAACCTCGGTATACGACCTTAATCCGTTCTTGGTGTTTGGACTTATACCGAATAGGACGTATACCGAACCAAGCTTTTCCATAAGAAGTAATGTAAAAATGATTAATCCGTTCTCATGTAAAAAAATGGCTGGCTTTAAGCACTTCGCTTTCCTGGCTAGTTTCTGCTTGATTTTTCACGAGATCAGCATGTTTCTTTTTAGCTTTCTCGCAAATAATTTTTTCCGATACACTGTCGCCAGCACACGGTTTTTCAGTTATCCAAAGCAAAAGCAATTTCTCGACACGATCTAATGTCTTTGATCTCTGTTTAGAAATTGATTTAACCCCTTTCGCAACGTTAGGAGATTTAATAATGTCTTTATTTTTCGCGATTGTCGATATCGTCGTTCTCGGAATACGGTACGCAACAGTTAAATCTCGAACACACGTGCCACCTTTATATTTCTCAACAATCTCTTTTTTCAGTTCCATTGTGATTCTAGTCATTTTTTTTTATTTTTCTTTTGCCTTTTTGCAATTCGTGATTAATAAAAATAATAAAATTTTACTTACAAATTAAAATCAGAAGAAATTTAACAAAGTTATAAACCGTGGCATCGCAAACGTCTAGTCTGGTCTAATACATCGATAGTGCTACTTGCTCATAGATGGCGCGTATAATTGAATTAAGTCGTATACCGAACAAAATTTGTTTTGTCCAAACAGGACGTATTCCGAATTGGACGTATTCTAAAGCAGACGTATACTGAGGTACCACTGTACTACTAGTAGCATTTTGCTATAGATTGTACTGTTCACTAACAGTGGGAGTAGTTTGGAAACTTTTTATTGCACTTTGTGTCTATTAATATTGTGTTATATGTTTGATTGTTTATATAATGATCTTTATTAAAACCCTATTATAAGATTTTTCCTATTTGATGCAGCAATACTTTGATTTAACTATTTTACTTTCAATCTATATGATGGGTGGGCAAGCAAGAGTTCAGTGGGAGCCAAAATGTAGGATTTGCAAAATGAATGGGAGCCGCTGTTCTGTNAGATTTTCTTGGTATTCGCTGATACGTTTCCTATACTCTTTCTTCTTTCGTGGAGCTTGTCGATGTCCTTTTTATCCGAAACGCTTCTCGTTAACATTCTAAAGAGTTTCATCGACTTCAAAGTTATCTCTAATTCGAGTGATGGTAAGTCGCATTGATGTTTTGAAACTGTTTAAAACTCCCTCCTAAACTGTCTTTGCACTTTAACTGTGTTTCCACACTTCCAGTAGCATTTTAGAATGCATTTCCTTTGTTGAAAGCTTAATCTAACTTCTATTATTAATTATAATGGCTGCAAACTGGAAATTAAAAAACATAAATTGATCTATAACCTGTTAAGGTGTGTATATGTCAGTTGTGGGAAAGCAAAATTTCAGTGAGAGACGAAACGTAGGTTTTGCAAAATTCATGGGAGCCGCAGTTCTGTAATTTTTTATCCTGTACCGCAGTTCTGTACCGAGATTTTATTATAGAATAGAAAACAAATATTGAATTTATTTAATAAACATATTTTCGCAAAATTGTGGAAATAAAATTGTAAAAATAATAATAAAAAGCAGAAATTAACACTTTCAGCAAGAGCCGCATGTAACTCAAAAAGGGCCGCATTTGCCGATGTCTGCTATATGATATGTTTTTGCTTCAGAGTATTCTGTGAGAATAAAATACTGAAAGTAAAACAAATTCATTATAAATAAATTATATAGCAAAATGTTCATCAAATTTATAAAATGTTTGAAGCAATCTTTTTGTGCAAATTATTGATTTGAATACAAAATATTCATTCATTCTGT